GGGGGGTTGGCATCTGCGCTCGCCTAGAGCGCAGGACAACCTCGGGCCGGCCCTGCATAAGAACATAAGAAAAGCCAATGTTGGATCAGGCCAATGGCCCATCCGGTCCAACACTCTTGTCACACAGTGGCCAAAAATACCAGGTGCCGTCAAGAGGTCCACCTGTGGGGGCAGGAGACTAACCCCCCCAAGCACCAAGAAGACAGAGCATCACATGCCCCGGAGTCCCTATCTATACCTCGTGGCTAAGAGCCACTGATGGCTATTAGAAGAGATTTGATTTATACCCCGCCCTTCACTCAGCCTGGCCTGGGAACTCCCCCCGAACCCCCATGCAGGTGCCGATCCAGTAGCGCCTCTCCCCCTCGCTGCTGTATGGCACGCCTTCCCAGAGAGCTGGGAAAGGCGTCCGCCATCGCTGTGCTGTAGACCCCGCCGATTACCCCCATTATATTCTATGGGGCTGCTGCGGCACAACTCTAGAGAGAAGGAGCTGGGGGGTGGGGAGCTAGGGGCGGGGCTTGTGCCCTCCTGGGCGGCCACAGCAGTGCTCCGGCACGCTCCGGCCCCAAATGATCCCTGTATACAGCCCACTATCTTGTGCCTAGGCACTCAATTCCAAAATAAAGTCCAACAGTTTAACTCCCACGTTGCCTGACCAGTCTGTGACACCACTTTTTCTTTCAAATTGAGATCTAGATTTTGTTCTAGAGAAAAATCTCTTTCATTTCTAGGATCAATTTTATCTCCATATCCGTGGAGTAGCCATGGGCAGTCCAGTGGCTCTGTCAATCGCCTGCTTCTTTACAGCAGAGTGTTACGCTAATCTGACACAAATATCAGTTCATTTCTCAACAAGAGTTTGGAACGATTGAGAATTACAATCCTGAGATTGTAATTCTCAACCAATTGACACCCCTATATAAATCAATGATGAGACCTCATTTGGAACACTGTCTGCAGTTCTGGTCACCACACCTTAAAAAGGATATTATAGCTTTGGAAAAAGTGCAGAAAGGGGCAACTCAAATGATAAAATGGTTGGAACACTTTCCCTATGAAGAAAGGTTAAAGCGCTTAGGGCTCTTTAGCTTGGAGAAAATACGACTGAGGGGTGACATGATTGAGGTTTATAAGATTATGCATGGGATACAGCAGGTAGAGAAGGGGTACTTTTCTCCCTTTCTCACAGTACAAGAACTCGTGGGCACTCAATGAAATTGCTGAGCGGTCGGGTTAGAACGGATAAAAGGAAGTCCTTCTTCACCCAAAGAGTGATTAACACATGGAATTCACTGCCACAGGAAGTGGCGGCGGCTGCAAGCATGGACGGCTTCAAAAGTGAATTAGATAGGAATATAGAGGAGAGGTCCATCAGTGGCTATTAGCCACAAGGTATAGATAGGAACTCTCAGTTTAGTGATGCTCTGTCTTTTTGGTGCTTGGGGGGGGGTCAACAGTGGGAGGGCTTCTAATGTCCTTGCCCCACTGGTGGACCTCCTGATGGCACTGGTTTTTCTGGCCACTGTGTGACACAGAGTGTTGGACTAGATGGGCCTTTGGCCTGATCCAACATTGGCGTCTCTTATGTTCTTAAGGAGAGAAGTTTGCTGATATTGTTGAATGGTTGACTAATAGGCATATCGCTATTGAATTCTCTGGCACTTGGGATTTAGTAACTATGACTTTTTTTGGATGCAATAGTTTATAAAAATATAAATAATACTTCGGCAATTAGTATTTTTAAAAAGGAAACAGATAAAAATGCACTGTTGCATTATACTTCACACCAGGGGTCGTTTTGTAGAAAAAGAGGTAGGGGAACTCATTAGCATAACTCATTAGCATATGCCACACCCCCTGACATCACCGGAAGTGTGTCATAAGGCCACACACCCCACCCCCAACGGTCCCGGCTGTCGCTGCCGGCCTTGCAACTCCACTGCTGAGCCCCATGAGGGGCCTGGTGGTGGACCTGCAAGGCCGGCGGGAGTGCAAGGAAGCCCCACGAACGCCCTCCCTGGCCCTAGGCAGGCAGGGGTGGGGAAAGGCGGGGAGGAAGCAACTTACCCTCCCTCTTCTCCTCCCTCCTCCTGGCTGAATGAGGGCCGGAAGCGGGGTGGCCGGAAGCAGGGGGCGGGGCTTCGTCATGTGCCCCGCCCCCTGTACCTCACCCAGGGGAACTGCGATCCCCCCCGAAATGACCTCTGCTTCACACCATCCTATAGGTTTATAATATAACCTTCCATTTAGCCAATTATTAAGAATAAAAAGAAATTCATCTTCAAGAGGATATTATTTGAAAGATAGTTGGAGGTTAAAAGAAAAATTCATGGCGTTTCCGGTGGCTGCGAGATTGCGCAGTCAGACCGAGAAGACCTCCGCGTCTGTGCTCCAAAAAATGTGAAAAAACAAATCAACTGAGGACTATAAAGATAAAAACTGCAGGCTGAAAGAGATAGGGAGGCCAAGAGGAGGAAAAGGAGCCAAGAAAAACAACAAGGAGTCTCAACAAACTGAGAGAATTGTGCAATCTTCAGAGGATGACTCCCCCCCCCCACTAGAAGCTGACTCAGATGAGGAGACTGCTGGTCGACAAAGCAAACGAAAGCGGAAGGACTCTATCACGAAAAAGGATATACAGACCATGTTTGTAGAACTGAAAAAAGACCTCAAAGACAGCATTACTCCCATTCATCAGAAACTGGTTGCGATGAACCTGAGCCTAATTGATCTGAAGGAAAAAGCAGACCAGGCATTGGAGCAGATTGCTAAGAAAAAACAGGATATACAAAACTTAAAAACCTTTGAGACATGGAGTAAGTCTAAAATCATACTCCTGGATATAAAAGCCTGTGAAAGAAAAATAAAACTCGGGAATTTCCCCAAATTTTGCTATCGACAAAGACCTCACGGGCTCTTTAAATGAATGGCTCCAGGCATTATTGCAACTGCCAGCTGCACCAATTATTCAAGCTTATCGGCTGAAGCCATCGCAAACAGGCTCTCCTACTCTCATCCCAGACATTCTGGCCGAGCTGTCAGACATCAAAGTAAAGAACATTGTGTTAGAAGTTGCAAGGAAGAATAATGGACTTAAACTAGAAGATACCAGGATGCAAGTATTTCAGGACCTACAACCAGAGATCCTAACAGCACGCTGGAACCTGAAACCGATTACACAGCGCCTGGCAGAAAAACAGATTAGGTATCGATGGCTTCCATTGGGACACTTACACATAAATTACAAAGGCAGAGTTTTCAACGTCCATGATGTCAAGTCTGGAGAGGATATGTTAAAAGCCTTGGAACTTTAAGTTTTGGACTCAAAAACCCTCAAGTGAGAGAACAATAAGCTTAATTTCAGAGAATTTGTGTTAACATTAATATTTCACTTTAAATAAATTGGTATCATAGTATAATAAGAGCACAGCGGGTAAGGCACTCGGAAGGAACTCCCCTATTACCTCCCATAGGGTGGGGTCACAGGGAAAGACCCCCTTTGGAATTTTCCAAAGTCGCATAGAGAGGTGGCAACCTCTAAGAACTCCACCACGAAGGTTTAAATTTTGTGGCCGTTGGTTTATCTTTTTATTTAAGAGCCATCAATAGGCAAAATATATTATAGCTAAGAGACAAGAGAAACAGCTTGGGATAACACTAAATATCACTTTATTAAGTATGTATTATTTGAGTAGGAGTTTAAGGAGAAAAAAAATAGTTTTTCAAGCAATCACTGGCAATGATGGGGGAAAAATCTTTTTGTTATCTAACACTTATAATGTAAGCAGGCATTGCCAGGGATACGGTGTATAAGAGCATGTAATATATTTTACAGTATTTCAAAATGTATGATTTATGCTGTAATCATGTGATATGGGAAATAAAAAAAATTTAAAAAAGAAAAGAAAAATTCATTCAGTTACAAGGGGAATAAGAGAAGGATGCCCACTTTCACCCTTTTTGTTCATAATGGCGATTGAACAATTAGCGGAAAGAATTAGAACTTCAGGAAGGATAGAAGGTTGTAAAATAGGCAAAGAAGATATGAAGATTAATCTGTTTGCAGATGATATAATAATAATGTCCAACCCAAAGGAAGGAATTAAAGAGACAAAGGTGATACTAGAGGATTTTGAAACAATGTCAGGTTTAAAAATAAATCTGATGAAATCAGAAGTATTATACCACAATGTGAATCGAGAGGAAAGGAAGAAATTAACATATTAACCACAATAGGATTGGGAGTCAAGAAATTTAGATATTTAGGAGTAGAAATATATCAGAATATCAATAAGATTGTAGAGAAAAACTATAATGATGTTTGGAGAAAAATAACAAGAGATAGGAAAAGATGGAAAAGAGAGTCCAGAATTAGGAGTGTAAAAATGTTCTGGATACCTAAATTAGCATATTTATTTCAAGTACAACCATTAGAGATGACCAAACAAAAACTGGAGAAATGGACTGCAACAGTAAGGGAATGGATATCTGGTAGTACAAGGACGAGAATCTCAAAAATAAATAAATAAGTTATAGTCATAATTCAGAACTAGGGTGGGGGTGTACCAGACATAGTAAGGTTCCAGTTGAAAACACTTTTAGAAATAGAGGAAGATGAGAATCAGAAATGGGTCAAATTTGAAAATGAAGCAAATAAAGGAATAGGGAAATATGGTATATTTACAAATATAGGGGAAAGAGAAGACAAATTAGAGACAGGTCCTAGGAGAAATACATTAAGAATTTGGAAGAAATGGCAACCAAAGTGGTTAAAAGGTATATCTAGATGGGCACCATTAGAAACTTTAGAAAAGGATAGTATAGACCATAGATGGTGGGAACTCTTAAGAAAAAAAAAGGATTGAGAAGAATAAAAGAGATGTGTAATGGAGGATCTCTGAAGTAAGCCCAACTTTTCTCTGCTGCTTTTTTTTTAATTAATAATTTTTCAGAAATTACACATTTTCAACATTAAACAAACGAAATACACCAAACTGTTTTGTTTTAATAATACAAATAAAAAGTAAACCATTTTTTAATACTGTGGATTATCAGGAATAATGTTATTATTCAAAATAAAACTTATAACAGGATACCAAACAGCTACAACTTTTTCTCTGCTGCTTTTGCTGGAATGAGAACCTGGTGGAGATGGGTTCACCTGTCAGTTGGGTCTCCCCCACGGGGGAGTGGTAAGGATATAGGAATATATTCTCTCCTTTCCTGATGTGGTAAGTCCAAGAGGGAGATATGTCTGGAGCCTTTGTAAAGTGCTCCCTTCACGTCACTATTTCCCCCAGAAGTCTCCTCCGTATGAATCGTTCGATGTGCCATTCTGAGAAAACCCCTTTCAATGCTCCATACATTTGTACAGCTACTCCCCGGTGTGAACCTTCTGATGTGTAGTTAGGGCGCTACTTTGAGAAAAGCACTTTCCACACTTAAGGCATCTATATGGCTTCTCCCCAGTATGAATCCTTTGATGTGATTTTAGGGAGTCATACCGAGCGAAGCACTTTCCACACTCCACGCATTTACATGGCTTCTCTCCAATGAATGCTTTGATGTGTCCTTAGGTGGCAACCCTGAGAGAAGCACTTTCCACACTCCAGGCATTTGTATGGCTTCTCCCCTGTGTGAACCCTTTGGTGTGAAGTTAGGCTGCAATGGTGAGAGAAGCACTTTCCACACTCCAAGCATTTATATGGCTTCTCTCCAGTATGAATGCTTTGATGTGCCTTTAAGTGGCTATTGTTAGTGAAGCACTTTGCACACGCGAAGCATTTATATGGTTTCTCACCAGTATGAACCTTTTGATGTGTCCTTAGGTGGGTACTCTGAGAGAAGCACTTTCCACACTCCAGGCATTTATATGGCTTCTCCCCAGTATGAACATTTTGATGTGATTTTAGGTGGTTATTTCGAGAGAAGCACTTTCCACACTCCAAGCATTTATATGGTTTCTCCCCTGTGTGAACCTTTTGATGTGAAGTTAGGCTGCAACTGTGGGAGAAGCATCTTCCACACTCCAAGCATTTGTATGGCTTCTCCACATTATGACTCTTTTGATGTGTCCTTAGGTTGCTACTCTGAGAGAAGCACTTTCCACACACCAAGCATTTATATGGCTTCTCCCCTGTATGAATCTTTCGATGAACATTTAAGTGGCTACTATAGGAGAAGCACTTTCCACACTCGAAGCATTTATATGGTTTCTCACCAGTATGAATCTTTTGATGTGAAGTTAGGTAGCTACGCTGAAAGAAGCACTTTCCACACTCCAGGCATTTATATGACTTCTCCCCTGTGTGAACCTTTTGATGTGATTTTAGGGAGTAATTCCGAGAGAAGCACTTTCCACACTCCAAGCATTTAAATGGCTTCTCTCTAGTATGAATCTTTTCATGTGCAGTTAGGTTGCTATTCTTGGAGAAGCCCTCTCCACACTCCAAACGTTTATATTGTTTCTCCCCTGTGTGAATCTTTTGATGCCTAGTTCTTGCACTACTGCAATGGAAGCGCTTTCCATATTCCTCACATTTATACCTATTCAAGAATGATGGCATGCTGTGATATGTTTTACCACTGAATTTGCAGTTGAATCTTTTCTGGTTCATGGCACCGTTAGGTCTCCTCTTTCTCTTCCCTGTTTCATCTTTGGTTGAGACGTCAGACTTATTACTCCTTTGTTTCTGTTCTGGTTTCCTTTTTCTTTTGCAACGTCTCTTTGGTACCACTTGACCTCCAGATGTTGCTTTCACCTGTGGATTGTTGTCTTTTCCCACAACTCTCCTTCCTGATTCCTTCTCACTCCCCTTCTCCATCACATCTCCAACTGCAAAAGAGGGACCAAATTCATTTCAGAAAGATAACATACAAATACCAGTCTGCAAGTATGGTCAATAGTCATGGTATTGACTTTCTATACCCAGAGCCAAGGGCTTAGGAAAACCTCATCAGTACTGAAAACACACACCAGGATGACTTGGAAAAGAAGAAATAAGTGACCAAAGGAAGGAGGAGGTAATCTCTGGCTTCTCTTGCAGAAACTTGCTCTTGAGATCACATTAAGGTTAATAAGCTTGTTTAGGGAACACATACAGCAGAACAGGAGAAGAAATGCTCTTAAAATCTTGAACGTTATTGATATATTTTGATTAAATCAAAAGAATAAAATATGGAACCCGTAAATCCAGAGACTGGAGATGTGGACAGACAAGAGAGAGATTTGTACAGTACATACAGTACAAACTGGGCCACCACACACAATGCTCCCTCTAAGCTGTGGAGTCTTGTGAGCAAACATTCTTCTATGTGAATTACTGGAATTAAAGTTGTGAGCGAGTGATTTGGCTACTGTGTAAACTACTTTGCTCTGGAGCTATCCTTCCTAAGCTAAGACAAAAATGTGTGAGCCGAAGGCTAAAAAACTGTGAGCTTGCTCACACTAACTCAACGCAGAGTTAACGTTGACCACACAGTATTGTCTGCCTTCAAGCTCTGGCTGAGATAGTCTACGGTGCCCTTGAGACAGCTGCTCCAGCCTTTGAGGTCCAACTCCCCTGGGCCTGGCCCAGCAGCAATCAGAGCCAGGCTACTGAACCCCACAGGACTTGCAGGACTCACCCAGGGCTGGCGGCCTGCTGCTCTTCAACAGCAGCCACACTGCAAACACCAGTGTGGTCCAGTAAACATATGAACCGATGAAGCTGAAGCCTTGTACTGAATCACACCCCCGTTCCATCAAGGTGAGTATTGTCTACTCAGACTGCCAGTGAGCCACAACCCCTCTCCTTCGTGATCAGAGTTCCGAACTGGGGTCTGGGAGACTCCGTTTGGAATCCCCGTATTGCTCCGGAAGAAAACTGTGAGAACACACGGGAATCCTTAAAACTACCTTACAGGAGGCGAAGAAGCCACGGTATACTGAACCAGACCACCTGTCCATCACGGTCAGTCCT